TCTTCCAACATGGCTGCCAGGAGGCGTCGTATGTCAACTGCAAGCCCTATATGGAACAGCTTATTGTGTGTGTGCGTATGTGCGGTGTGTGAGTAAGCATGTCTGTCTTTCAAGGATTTACTGCTTCAGCATGGAAGGAATCAGTGAAGTGGCATTGCCATTAGGGCTGTTGCGGTGACCGTATTACTGCCACACTGGCGGTCACGAGTCATAAAGGCAGTCAAATTCCACGTGACCGTTTAGTCATGGTAATTAGGCTTCTCCACGCTCTGATGCTGCTGATGGTCATTAGTAGCCTACCAAACGTGCTAACTGCTTGGTACTCAGCACGCTATTGTCCCTCTAATCACTCTGACATCAATGCAAATGTAATCGAAAATCTAATCAAACACTTCATGAGAGCCCATGAGCTCATGTTGCGCAACATTTCTATAGGCTGTGATGGCCTCTATTAAAAAGAGGAGGATTCCATCAGCTTTCTATAGGCTAGGCCTACTATATTTATTTCTCAACTTTCATAATATAACACATTCCTTATCTTTACAACAGGAGTATAGCTTACCTGGCTGGCATGAAAATAAACCATGGGAAAAGCATCCTCCATTCGCTATTTGTGGCGGGTGATTTGGACGGAGTCAGGCGCAGGAGGGTAAATCACAGAATAAATTGTTTATTCGGTAAGACAGCGGTACGCAGCAATGCGTAAAACACTCCAGTGTTTGGAGACAACAAGGCACATGGGTGAATATCCCGGTGATACAAAATACAATATAGCTCCACCGAGCTATAGTCACCTCCACAATAAACAATCACACACAAAGACAAGGGGGGCAGAGGGAATACTGATACAGGTACTGATGAGGGGATATGAACCAGGTGTGTGTAATAAACAAGACAAAACAAATGGAATGATGAGATGAGGAGCGGCAGTGGCTAGAAGGACGGTGACGACGATTGCCGAAACCTGCCCGAACAAGGAGATTAGGCAGCTTTGGAGGAAGTCGTGACAGTACCCCCCCCCCCGCCCTTGACGCGCAGCTCCAGCAGCGTTGCCGACACCGGCCTCGGGGACGGCCAGGAGGACGCGGAGCAGGGCGAGCCGGATGGCGATGCTGGAAATCCCGCAACAGGGAGGGATCGAGGACATCCCTCACTGGGACTCAGCACCGCTCCTCCAGGCCGTACCCCTCCCACTCCACGAGGTACTGAAGGCCCCCCACCCGACGCCTCGAATCCAGGATGGAACGGACGGAGTACACCGGGGCCCCCTGGAGCGGACCAGCCACCACCGGTCTGAGGAGAGACACGTGAAACGAGGGGTTAATATGGTAATCAGGAGGGAGTAGTAACCAAACGTAACCTCATTTACTCTCCTCGTTTACTCTCCTTGAAGGGGGGTGAAACGGGCAGGCCCCTTCCAGGACGTCCTCTTGAAGCCAGCAGGTTGTCCTACCGGATGACCATGTCCACCAGCTGGTTGAAAGTCAACGTGGTATCCCAGCAGGCTAGCTCCCTTCGGACGTCCTCTCGCAGGTTTCACCGGAAGCAGTCGACGAGGGCCTGCTCGTTCCGCCCGGACCCAGCAGCTAGAGTTCTAAACTCCAGGGCAAAGTCCTGCGCGGTCCTCATCCCCTGCCTCAGATGGACCAGCCGCTCGCCCGCCTCTCTTCCTTCGGGAGGGTGATCGAAGACTGCACGGAAGAGGCGAGCGAACTCCCCGTAGTTGTCCAACGCGTCTCCTCCTTCACTCCAGACCCCGCGGGGGAAGTCTGTCATAAGATGGCCCATGGAAAGGCATCCGAGGGAAGATGGTGGAAACTCATGTTTTATTCGAATCTGTTGGTGTAGATGAGAGTACAGGGAGTGAGAATGAGTGGACTGCAGTCGTGGAAAAAATAAAATAAACAAAATAAGTAAAGTTGTGATGGATACTAAGAAATTCCTAGATTTGTTTATAATCGGTGTGAGGGTTTTGGATCAATGTTACCTGGGGGATCCGTTCGAAGTCACGAGTATAATGGATAAATTGGGTAAGGTGCCGTCGGTGAGAGCCACAAGATGTTTTGTGTGTCCGCGGAACAGCTTTGCTTTGCGCTTCAAAAATATTTTTTGCATGGATTTCTGAAGCAGGGCGCCTGTCAAGGGGGTTATTTCTGGGGTTGCGCATGAAGCGGATGCAGATGATATACCAGAGGAAGTAGAGGAAGTGATTGGTGCACGTTGACTAACCTGTATGGTGGATGGAGTAAGGATCCCAATTTGTCCATATTATTGCTTTTTGATGAGTCTCTCCCTTCTCGTGTACAGCTAGGCGTTATGAGATACCCTGTAAGAGCTTTTGTGCACAAGCCCCTCCAGTGTTATAAATGACTTGGGCATGTATCAAGTGTATGCAGACAGGAAGAATATTGTGTGCCAGTCCCCGGATTGAAGGAGATGTTTATTTATTATGTTATTTATGATGTTTATTTATTTTCCCTTTTGTACTTTAACTATTTGCACATTGTTACAACACTGTACAGCGCATTCTGAAAGTATTCAGACCCCTTCACTTTTTCCACATTTTGTTACGTTACAGCCTTATTCTAAAATTTATTAAATTACGTTTTTTCCTCATCAATCTACACACAATACCCCATAATGACAAAGTGAAAACAGGTTTTTAGAAATGTTAGCAAAAACACTAAAAATAAAAAACAGAAATACCTTATTTACATAGGTATTCAGACCCTTTGCTATGAGACTCGAAATTGAGCTCAGGTGCATCCTGTTTCAATTGATCATCCTTGAGATGTTTCTACAACTTGATTGGAGTCCACCTGTGGTTAATTCAATTGATTGGACATGATTGAGAAAGGAACACACCTGTCTATATAAGGTCCCACAGTTGACAGTGCATGTCAGAGCAAAAACCAAGCCATGAGGACGAAGGAATTGTCCGTAGAGCGCCGAGACAGGATTGTGTCGAGGCACAGATCTGGGGAAGGGTACCAAAAAATGTCTGCAGCATTGAAGGACCCAAAGAACACAGTGGCCTCCATCATTCCTAAATGGAAGAAGTTTGGACACACCAAGACTCTTTCTAGAGCAGGCCGCCCGGACAAACTGAGCAATTGGGGAGAAAGGCCTTGGTCAGGGAGGTGACCAAGAACCTGATGGTCACTCTGACAGAGCTCCAGAGTTCCTCTGTGGAGATGGGAGAACCTTCCAGAAGGACAACCATCTCTACAGCACTTCACCAATCAGGCCTTTATGCTAGAGTGGCCAGATGGAAGCCACTCCTCAGTAAAATGCACATGACAGCCCGCTTGGAGTTTGCCAAAAGGCACCTAAAGGACTCTCAGACCATGAGAAACAAGATTCTCTGGTCTGATGAAACCAAGATTGAACTCTTTGGCCTGAATGCCAAGCATCACGTCTGGAGGAAAACTGGCGCCATCCCTACGGTGAAGCATGGTGGCGGCAGCATCATGCTGTGGGGATGTTTTTCAGCAGCAGGGAGACTAGTCAGGATCGAGGGAAAGATTAATGGAGCAAAGTACAGAGAGATCCTTGATGAAAACCTGCTCCAGAGCACTCAGGACCTCAGACTGGGGTGAACGTTCACCTTCCAATTGGACAACGACTCTAAGCACACAGCCAAGACAACGCAGGAGTGGCTTCGGGACATGTCTCTGAATGTCCTTGAGTGGCCCAGCCAGAGCCCGGACTTGAACCCGATCAAACATGTCTGGAGAGACCTGAAAATAGCTGTGCAGCAACGCTCCCCATCTTGAGAGGATCTGCAGAGAAGAATGGGAGAAACTCCCCAAATACAGGTGTGGCAAGCTTGTAGCGTCATACCCAAGAAGACTCAAGGCTGTAATCAATGCCAAAGGTGCTTCAACAAAGTACTGAGTAAAGGGTCTGAATACTTATGTAAATGTGATATTTCTGTTTTTTATTCTTAATACATTTGCAAAAAATTATTTTGTGGGGTATTGTATGTAGATTGATGACAATGTATTATTAATTTGTATTTTTTATTTTTTTAATAAGGCTGTAACGTAACAAAATGTGGGAAAGTGAAGGGGTCTGAATACTTTCCCGAATGCACTCTACATAGCCATAATATGACATTTGAGATGTCTCTATTCCTTTGGAACTCTTGTGAGTGTAAAGTTTACTGTTTATTTTTGATTGTTTATTTTCACTTTTGTTTATTAACTATTTCACTTGCTTTGGCAATGTAAACCATATGTTGCCCATGCCAATATGGCCCTTTGAATTGAATTGAATTGAAAGAGGTGGTGAGAATCAGGGCTGTCCAGCGTGTCTCCTATCTGGAGGCAGTGAGAAGAGTGGAAGGTGCGAGTGGCGTTGAAGACGCAATGGTGATTGAGACTGCACCAGTGAATGTTTCTCGGCAATCAAGGGATCCTGATATATTACATGTGAAAAAGGTGGACTTTGTAGCATGTATTGCAATGGTCATAAACTGCACAGCACAAACAAAGAAGAAATCGGAGGAAATTTTAATTATTGTGAGTGCAGCAGAACGATTTTTGTGACTAAGTGAGTTTACAGCCGAGGCATTGCAAGAAATCCTGTAAAAGGATGTTCTGCCCTAACAGGCCCATGAGCCTGTGTAGGGATGTTACTTGAATTGGAATGTGACTGAAGGAATGGGATGTTATTTAAAAAAATCGCCCTTTTTTTCCTACAATGAATATGTTTACAACATGTACAGTAGGTGGCGGCATGCACCTCTAACGCTTGTTTGCGGACGGCCATAATACCATAGAAGAGGAAGTCTGTCATAAAATGATTGCAGCAATGTTGTCATAGTGGAGTTCATTGCTAAAAGTCAGTAGATAATTACAATGTTTCGATTTCAAAGGTGCTTGATGTGTTGTAGACTTTATGTTGAGTTAATTCCAATCGAGTTTCCTGTCGTAAGTCGGTAGCCTACCTTTAGGGAGCCCTAAACTGAATTGATATCCAGCTATATTAGCGTGAAAATGGCATCATTCAACGGAGAGGGTAAGAACTCAAATGTTCTAAACAAAGTCCACTTGGTAGTCCAATTAATCATTGAAAGTTGTTGTTAATCTGGCGGTATCTGTGTATTAAATAAGTTATCCAATGCCTTTATCATCAATCATCAGTCAGTTTTGTTTGCAATTATATGGCTAGCTCTGTTTACAAGTTGCAAAGCCTATTCAAACACAATGCACAGCCTACGCAAAGGTGTAAGATGAGTCTTGGTATTTGCAGGGTAGGCTATTGGTTGTCAATGTTCTTAAATGAAAGCAGGGTTTTATCCCCTCTTTTCCTCATCAACAGGAGGGAACCATGTACTTGTGGAAGTGAGCCCAGATATCCACATCTGTGGGTTCTGTAAGCAGCAGTACAATAACTTTGAAGTATTTCTTGCCCACAAGCAAAATGGCTGCCACATACCCTCCTCTGACATATCAGCATCTAACTCTGCACCCACTCATACAGGTAAGACCACTCTTACAAGATGTCTTATCCACAGGCTTGTTTGACGAGATTACAACATTTTACCCCAGACTCCTTAAATATACCATTGGAACAATGCATAGCCTATATATTTTCTCCTTGAAATACAACTTGTTATAAAGACAAGTAAAAATGGGTTATTTGGTTACTCAGTAACCATGGTAACAGTCTGATGTTTAGAGAAATTACTCAGTTGTCTGGAAATGTATCCTATACAGTCAGAAATCCTTTCCACTTTTCCCCCCAGATTCCAGCACAGAGTTTGTTTTTGAGGAAACCTACCAGACGTGTGTTATGAGAGGTGTCAAAAAGATCCTGACCAAAGCCTCTAAAACACCTTCCAAAAAATTAAAACCTGCCCTGAGTTCAAAGAGACGCAGCTGCTGTTTCTCGGGTTGGTACCTCACTCCCTCTTTCCTCTTTTATTACTCCTGTGACACATACCTTCCATGCTGCTGCTAGGGAGGGAGGGAGGGAGGGAGGAAGGAAAGGAAGTAAGGAAGGAAAGGAAGGAAGGAAGGAAGGAAGGAGTAAGAGAGGAGGGAGGGAGGGAGGGAGGGAGGGCGGGAATGGAGGGAGGGGAGGGAGGGAAGGAGGAAGGAAGGAAGGAAGGAAGGAGGAGTAGGAGAGGAAGGAAGGTCGGAGAGGGAGGGAGGTCGTTCCTTGACGCATTAAAGAAGGAATCATTCAGGAATTCGAATGAAGAAGGAAGGAAGGAAGGAAGGAAGGAAGGAAGCACAATATCCGCTGGTCAGTTACAACCAATTGGCTCTTTTCTGGGTCAGTTACATTTTTATAGCTGGCTTTTACACTACCCATTAGTACAGTAAAATGGTCTTGAAATGTGGTTCAAACAACACTGTTATATTCAGGGTGCATGAATCAATCACATTTCTAATCAAATGCATAATTTATTCCTTTGCCCCTAGGTTGCTCTTTCAAGACACAGTACGGTCAAAAGGACATGGAGCGGCATCTCAAAACACATACTGGTATGTAATAATACCGGTGTCATTTTATTATAAATTAAATTATTGATTTCTCATCATAGTATGTATTGCGATTTTTAACATTAATTTGTCCTCCAATCGTTGTGTGGGCCCAGGTGAGAAGCCGTTTGAATGTGAGCTGTGCCACAAGCGGTTTAGCCGGAGGGACAAGCTGAACATGCACCTCCGCTCCCACACGGGAGAGAAGCCTCACAAGTGCAAGTACTGTCCCTACGCTGCGGCTGACAGCAGCAGTCTGAAGAAACACCTCCGTATCCACTATGATGAGAGGCCCTTCAAGTGCCAGATCTGCCCCTATGCCAGCCGCAACTCCAGCCAGCTCACCGTGCACCTCCGTTCACACACTGGTGGGTCTGCTTGGGTTGATTACTACAAGCATTGAATTGGTATTCACAAGTTGTATAAGTCTGGTTATCAAATCTGGTTATCAAATGGTCTACATTGTTTCGCGTTCATTTGGGATTGAAATATGGCACATGGATTTATCCCGATATAAGACCAATTTTGACCTCTAAAAAAGTCTGACAAACATACGTTTTCTTTGTCTGATGTTCTAAAAATGTATATATTCCTCTACTTTAGGGGACGCACCTTTCCAGTGCACTCGGTGTGAAGCAAAGTTCAAGATCAACTCTGACCTGAAGAGGCACATCCGTATCCACTCGGGTGAGAAGCCTTACAAGTGTGACTTCTGTGACTACCGCTGTGCCATGAAGGGCAACCTGAAATCACACGTCCAGATAAAACACGGCACGGCCAACTCCTTCCGCTGTCCTGACTGTGACTTCCAGTGCACCAATAAAACAGCTCTGCGGCAACACTCTCGAGAGCACCAGCCCACTCAACCCATCCAGTGCTCCAAGTGCACCTACTCCTGCTCCAGCAAGGGGGCGCTCAAGGTCCATGAGAGGATCCACTCTGAGGAGCGACCCTTTAAATGTGACTTCTGCAGTTTCGCCACCAAGCAGCGCAGCAACCTGGTCATCCACAAGAAGAAGAAGTGCCACGTGGACAAGCCTAAAAAAGGCACAGGTGTCAGTGGGAAAGGAGGCAAAGCCAGTGTCTGTAACGGAGAGGACCCTCCCAAGCCTGTGAGCTCCCGGTACCGGGCCAAGCTGGACGCGACACGGGCCTTCCGCTGTGACTTGTGCGAGGCGTCGTTCGTGAGGGAGGACTCTCTGCGAAGCCACAGGAAGCGGCACCAGGACTCAGACTCCCAGCAGACGCTCCAGCCCATCACCTCCCAGCCCAGTGGTGTGACTGTGAGCCCTGTATCCAGGCAGGACAGCCACACCACCCAGATCCCACTCCACCAGGTCCCCCTGGCTCCCCTGGCCTCAGACCCCCTGGCCCCCTACAGCAGTGCCCAGCTCCAAATCATAGTATCCCACCCTCTGGGTCAGGAGGGCTCCTTCCTTCCCCTGCAGGCTGGGGTGGGTGTGGACGTTGGGCAGCACCAGCATCACACCAAGGGATCTTCCACGGTCTTCCTGAGCCCAGAGACCCAGGGCATGGTGGTGAACTCCATGATCCAGCAGGTCAACCTGAGCCTCACGCCCATACAGCAGCTAGGAGCTCAGGGCCAGGTAGAGGGGGGTTCTCTGGAGCCTCAGACAGTCCTGCTGACACACCTCTCCCCAGGGGACAGCAGTAACCCTCTCCACCAGGCCCTACTTCAGTCAGCCATGGCCTCCCAGGACTTGTCAGCCCACCATAGCAGCACACAGACCTTCATCACCACCTGCTCAGACCTGGAGGGCCTCAATGCTCTCATCCAGGAGGGGGGTACAGAGGTTACTGTGGTGACGGAGGGAGGGAACCACAGTAACCTAGTCACCACGGCCACCTCCAGGTTCCCGCCCCCGGACATGATGTGTAGCGAAGGTGGCCCCTCGGAAGACTTGGCCAAGCAGGCACAGGTAACAGTGGTGCACAGGGTTGGGGACAATGGCATTAACACCTGTGAGGAGGACAGTAGTCTCATGGTCCCTAGCATCAGTTTAGGCAGCCAGGAAGTGGTCATCCACGGCTTGCCTCTGGTGGTGACTGCCCAGAATCAGCCTGTTCTAGAACAACTCTCAGTCTCTACACAGAACCTCTATTCAGTGTCAGGCACACACACCATTGATGGCCTCCAAGACTGATTAGACCACCATTACTGTACTGTATGTCTGCAACAGGTCAAATAGATAGTTATAACAACCGGTTAGATAGCAGCTCATGTTCTGTTACAGAATGTTCTCATGTGCAAGTTACATTACATTGACTCTTGACTCATGTCATAGCTTTGTCATGTTTAGGTTAGCTTAGTTATTAATCATAAATCCAGAGTTGAAAATGAAGCATGTTTGGTACAAACTAGTCAATCTGACTACAATCATCTTTGACATGTTTCCTAATATGAACTTTTCAATTCAGATGAACATGAAGACAGTGCATTGTTTAAAGTGTCATGAAATAGGGCATTTGTAGCTCAGCTGGTAGAGCACGGCGCTTGTAACGCCAAGGTAGTGGGTTCGATCCCCGGGACCACCCATACACACAACAAAAAAAAAAATTATGCACGCATGACTGTAAGTCGCTTTGGATAAAAGCGTCTGCTAAATGGCATATTAATAATTAATTATTAATTTCAGAAAAACAAATTAAAACAGTATCTGCTTGTTTGTGCTACTTTCTTATTGTTTTTGTAATGATGATTGAAATGTATTGTCCTTGGTGCATGTTTCTACTTTAACCAACCTGTCATTGACCATGAAAGAGTATTAACATTACAAAGTCAGACCTCCATGATCGAAATTGATAACTTACATCAAAAACCTAGACAGGTATGGACAGAAATAGCTTGCCATTACCTGCTACCTAGGCTTTCCAGTCACCCATTGTCTGTCAATAGAAGTTCCTAATTTGTCCACCAGATGGCAGTAGAGACCATAGAGCTATGTGATATCCGTTCTTTGTGTTTTTACAGAATAGCAGCCTTTCATGGCATTGACATGGGCTGTGTTAAGACAGGCAGCCCAATTCTTATTTAATTGTTTTACTAATCAGATCAGCTCTGACGAAGATCTGATGTGAAAAGATCTGATGTGATTGTTCAAAAGACCAATTAGTGGAAAAAAATCAGAATTGGGCTGCCTTTCTAAACGCAGCCAAAGAGTCATGGTAAACATGTACATTTAAAAACGAGCAATGTTGCAGTTCTTGACACAAACCGGTGCGCCTGGAACCTACTACCATACCCCTTTCAAAGGCACTTACATTTTTGGTCTTGCCCATTCACCCAATGAATTGCACACATACACAATCCATGTCTCAATTGACTCAAGGCTTTAAAATCCTTCTTAAACCCGTCTTCCCTTCATCTACACTGATTGAAGTGGATTTAACAGGTGATATCAATAAGGGATCATAGCTTTCAACTGGATTCACCTGGTCAGTCTGTCATGGAAAGAGCATGTGTTTTTAATGTGTTGTATACTCAGTGTATTTGAACCATTCTATATTCAGACATCTTGTCACTTCAATGAAGCCTGGGTGTCCGAGGCTACCAGACATCTGACACAAGGCTGATGTAATGTCCCTAGATTGCCTTTGGGGGTCAGTAAGTATCCAACATTAAAATGATCCTTCTGAATTATTGATCTGAACCATGCCAAATTTGTATTCACACCTATAAACACATTATATTCTTGTCTATTTTCATCCCTGTACATTTTTGATCTCATTAGGTATCATCAAAACTGTGTACTCTAGCAAATTAAAATGCAGTTTTTGTATTATGAGTGATAGACAGCAATATTATAATGCACCCTAGTGTGTTTCTGTTTAACTTTTTATAATGTGGGGTTAATGATCTCATTTAAGACATTTCTATGTGGTGTTTTATTACTGGAGTCCATTGGCTGAAGCAGTAAGATGACTGGTTGCTATGTGGGAAAAGTGTTCTAGAACTAGAGGTGATCTCTGATGCATCTCTTTGATCTATTATCAGGCAGAGCAGAGAGACTTCCAGGGTTCTAATCCCAAGCACCCTTGAGGAGGGCCTGCTTCCCCAAACACATTCTACCATTCTACATGTGACATCATAGGAGGTGGGTTATGTGCGCGCTCTCGCTCTCTCTCTCTTCAGGCTTTTGTGATATGAGATGTAAAGCCCTGTGTAATTGATCAGAGTTGTGACACAGCCATTTGATAAGTTATTTGAAATGGTTGATATAAAAAGCATCCATCCATACAACATTTATACACCCACAAACCCATTTATCATAAGTGGGTGTGAGTGTTTGTAAAACCAGGTCCATTCACCATTCTATACCATAATCCGACATTTCTGTTTTGAATAAAGGTGTGTTTTGTGGGGCTTTGTTAAAAAGGTATAGCAGGAAGTGTAAATGGACCTCTTTATACTGTATGGCACTTCTCACTTCCTTCCTTCCTGTGTTTGAGATGTCAGGCCTTTGAATGGGGTCATAAAAGTCTCCAGAAAAAGCAATTTCACTCACTGTTGCTTAAAGAAATCGTATTTCGTGATGCATTCCTTCTGGACATAAAAGGAGCCAGAAAAGGCCAAGTGATATAGAGAATGAATGAGGGGAAATACTGGGGAGTCTTACCTCTGTAACATAGAACAGTAGTAAATGACCACTTTTAATAGTGTGAAAATGTCAAAGGTCAATTATCATAAAACCTCATGAATATATTGCTCTTATGGTTAATCTCACTCTGTCAGTAATAAGGTGATACATCTTTAGGATAGCAGGATGGAGAACATTGGAACCTTTAGGTTTAGGTTAGATCCTTTTTACTTTCCATTTTTTACTTCACACACACATCTGTTAAAGCTATAAAGTCCAATCTGTCATGTTGCATTATCTAAGACTCTTTGTTTTGTACATTTCTGACCTTTGAATCTTTTGCACACTATTTGCTGCACCATCAGTAAACGGCATTGAATGCCCTTAATGAAATAAACTTATCAGTTCAGAGTTAATATGGATTTTGTATTCCAATGCAAGTCCCGTGTAGCTCAGTTGGTAGAGCATGGTGCTTGCAACACCAGGGTTGTGGGTTCGATTCCCACGGGGGCCAGTATGAAAATGTATGCACTCACTAACTGTAAGTCGCTCTGGATAAGAGAGTCTGCTAAATGACTAAAATGTAAAATGTAGCATATTTTTCTCCTGACACTACTGACATTTTAAGTGTGTTTTGATTTCTCACAACATGGTAAGCTTTTTATCTTGATTCTCATTCAATACTGTTTCTTCTTCAAATGAACACATACAGTATGTGTTTTAAATACAAAACACAGACATATTTGATTAGACATTACCTGTGACAAGTGCTCTATGTGCTTAGTGGTGCAAGTTAATTGTCTTGTTTGTCAGAAAGGTATGAAGGCCATTGTATAATTTAAGATTTCAAGTCTTTTGAAAATCCTGACAACCAACATGTCACAAGACTACAGGTATGAATGACAACTTGCATTGATTTTCTGTTTTCAACTATATTCCAGAGCTTTCAGTGTCTTATCACTTGAATTGTGTTTTAGTAACAGAGTCACAAGAATACAGGTATGAATGACAACTTGCATATATTTTCTGTTTTCAGCTAAATTCCAGAGCATTCAGTGTCTTATCACTTGAATTGTTTGATTGTTATCAGATGAATTGTGTTTTAGTAACAGAGTAACACTAAGGGATTATTAGGCTGCAATTTGTGCCTCTGTAACAATATAAATAAATGGTGATTAATCATGTTGCTCTATTCAGCTCTCTGTGAACCCTGTCATTTGCATTCACATTTTAGATACTAGAATTATGAGAGGCGACAAAACAATGGGATGGCCACTCACTTTACAGCTAGTAATGTTTTAGGTCTGATGTCTTTTTAAAACAACTAATATGTTTGTTTGATTCAGCAAATTAATTTAATAGAAGCTATATATTGAAAATAATTATATCTAAAAGTTATTACATAACTTATTCCATTTTACTCATGAAATAAATATATATTCTCCTGACAACTTCAGATTTAAAATAGGCTTGCGGGTAGTGTCACCTAAATGATGAATTAGTAATTGTGGTGTTGTTTTTGTATTATTGTCTTATACTGGCCTGTCAGAAAGCATTGCACTGACAGGCTATTTTGTTGTTTCTTTAAGATTTAAAGCAGGGTTTTAAAAGAAGTCCTCAGGGGGGAAAATAAGTATCATTTTAGCCAATGGAGAGGGCCGGAGTGTCGCTGGCCAAAGCCTATAAAAATCCTTAATGGACAAAGGAATGCTACAGTATCCACTGCTCCTAAACCCTCTCAGCAATATCATGTGTTGTGACCTGAGCTCTAGATATACCATTTTTAAATGACGTATGATGAATGTGATGTTGTCCTAGATAGCCCAGCTGTGAACGAAACAAGCTATTGTGATTGGGTGTTTTTATGCAAAGGACATTAGCCATGGTTTTATTGTCACTTTACCAAAAACATTAATGTTTGCGTGTTCTTTTCTTCTTAATTTTTTAAGGTTTTTCTTTAGCTTATAGTATTTTGTCCGTTTCAATATCAGTTGACTATTGGTTACTGTCTCCTGCAATCAATGGTTATTCTCTAGTCAGACATACTATTTGTGTGGTTTTCTGCTTTGTTTTAGGATCATTTTCACATCGTCAGCAGGTTGCTTTGTGTTTTCCTTACGCACTTTCAGTTAGGTTTGGAAGGACAGTCAGTCACAGTTTTGTCTGGTTAGATCTTTGTTTTCAGTGTGTTGTTGTCCATTCCACTGAACAACTCTCACATATACACATACAACATTTCAGATGCAATAACAGGCAGCTGGTATAACAATGGTTAAAAAGGTCTTCTGAACTTCCAAACGTATATGATCAATATTCTCACAGTTAAACCTATATTGTATATTTAAACATTTACCATTTTAAAGATGCCATTGCTTTCGACAGATGGCCATGAGCCAGCAAAATATTTTATTTGCTCAGGCATGCCTTATCCTAAGAAAACAAACATGATGGAAATCGGATCTTTACACATATAGACTATTGTCTCCTGGCAGTGTACTCCTACACTTTGCTGTGTGTGTGTGTTTTCCTTTCCCTGCTTTAAAAGCACATTCACACAGCAGAAAGTT